TGTCAGTTCTATATATTGGATGGACGCGGCACACTTGGCCACGATAGACTCGCTTTACAGTGATATCGTAAGTAACAGCGTTGCCGGAGTCTGCTGTGGCCAGCTATGTTGGTCATTCGGAGGTGGCAAACCACAACGCGGTCGTCCTATTGTAGGTTGGAACAAGTATATCCGTGACGCTCACAGGAACGCTAGACAAAAGTATCTAACCTGGGTATGTTTTGGTAGGCCTAATAGTGGAACCATTTATAATTAAACGTATGATTCGAGGAAAATTTTCTAAGGCAAATTAAAGTATTGTCAGAATAATCATGAGCAAATAAAAATGAATATTTTAGGTACTAAACACAGTGATAAAGATTTTAGGGGATTCTGGCAACAAAAAAAAAATTAAGTCCAAAGCCTAGCGTCCCTGAGAGTATCAACGGCATCAGCGACCCACGGGATATAGCGAACATGTTCAGATGTCACTTTCAAGTAGAGTCTCCGCTAAAAAGTGCGCATGTTGTAGATGAAGAGGTCGTGGTGTCGGGGGTGCCGGACTACGTCACAGCTAAGCAAGTTGCTCTAGTAATAAAAGGCAAGACGCGAGGGAAGTCTCTTGGTCACGATGGCCTTAGCATTGAACATTTTCGCTTTGTGGCGCCACACCTACCGAGACTCTTACCGTATTCAAGAACCACCCTTATTTAAGTATGTTGGTTCTCACTGCGAAGTGTCCGATTTCTTACAGGGTTGGAGATGTCTATAGACTTCGTTCATAGTCAACGTCGATCAACGTCTGGGTCACCATTGTGGCCGTGGTAGGGAAATGGGAGATCTCCCGCCGGGCAAGGTGTTCTGCCCGGGGAGCGGCCAGAACTTAGTTTGGAGATGTTCTATATATACTGTTTATGATTCGGAATGTTGATAGCGTGATTTAGGTTTCGGTGAGTTTCGCTTGCGGCGCGACGACAGCGCCGCTCTACATCACCCCCCTGCTTAGGCCGGAGGTCAATAGTGCAGCCTCGTTGCCGATGAATGTGCAAGTGCCAGGAGATTGCCTTGTAGTCTGCGGTGAGTCGAGAAGAAGGCAAGTAAACTGCGAGAGTGCCGTAAAGCAGAGACGAGCACTAAGGCTCAGAGTCGTGCCGAACACTGTAGCGCAGAGTGTAGCTTAAAGGAACAGGAAGCATTATTATTCCAGTGCTGCAATGAACCTTGTGAAGCTAGCTGGCTTGCAGGATATGAAGACTGCAGACGATATCTGCTCGGGAGCGAATGGGTGGGGTATTCTATGACGATGATGACGCTTGAAGTTTCCAAAGATTGTTGGTTGCGTGTTCAGATCACGTCGGTGTCACCACTGTGGCCGTGGAAGGAAAAGGGGAGTTCTTCCGCCGGGCAAGGGTGTTCTGCCCGGGGAGCGGCCGACACTCCGTGTGATAGTTCGGAGATGTTCTATATATACTGTTTATGATTCGGAATTTCGATAGCGTGATTTAGGCTTCGATGTATTTCGCTTGCGGCGCGACGACAGCGCCGCCACAACTTAAGTATTTCAGTGAATGCATAGGGAAGGATTCGACGTTTTGATTGGTCGGTTTCGGGGCTAGCTTCAAGTTGTTATTCAAACGTCAAATGTCGATCAGTACATAACCTCAATTCATATGTTGATTTTGCAAACCGGTTTGTGTAACACTGTTTTAAGTAAAATTTTAGCTTGAATACCAATTATAATTTTTGCGATAATGGAAATATCATCTCTGGCTAAAAGTGCTAAATGGTGACTCAAAGGCTTTTCCTCAGTAATATTTATTTTGTGCGAGTTTCTTGATAATTCATTCATACACACGCCGAAAAAGAACTACACATAAGTTTGGTGAGTGAACGTTCTATTATTTAAAACAAACAAACAAATGCCAGAGACATTGAACTCAAGAGGGCGGCATGGAGCGAAATTGAAAATGCCAGTACCTATTGTGGTCAAGAGAACGGCATTACAGCTAAAGATATGCTGGGAAAACATAAAAAGTTGTCATAAGAAGGAGTTGTCAATGGAAGCTGGGAGTTTGATACAGAATGGAGGTAGAGTTGGTGAAGCGGGCACTACAAAAACATCTTAGATAGTATTTGCCTATACATAAATCTGACTGTACCTGGAGTTATATTATATATTATTGACTCAAACACAGAAGAGAAAGCCCTAGGTAAGGATGAAGCTTTATTCTTTGTTTTGTTTACATCACTACTCGTAACAAAGCTTGTATTTGATTTACTATAAACAGCAGAGTTATATTATAAACTAGAAATGACAGTTTTTTAAATATAAGCAACATTATTGTTTCTGCTTGCGGTAAACCTGAGTTCTGTGGAAATACATGCTCTAGAGAAAATATACAAAGAAAACGAACATGATAATATGGTTATTTGTAATATTGTCAAGATTTTACTTAAAATAAATAAGCACAAGAAGATAAATTATATCTGGACATTCTATAAAGTATCTTGTTTTGTGAGCATGATGCTGTATTTTTGGGCATTAACTTTTCCTTTTTTGCAGATAATGAAACCATAGAGAGTATGCCAAAACCAGAAAGTTTAAAATTAAGCAAGAGGAAAAGAGGACTTTTTACTTTAAAAACATTAACAGGTACAGTTACAAGTAATATTTTTATGTATGGGGGACATGAAGTAGGCAAACAACATAAATTCAATGTTCAAGGGAGTTTTAAGGTTTCCATTTCATACACTATCTACTTACAAGTTTACATAAATTATGATACTAGCAGTTTAAAAAGTAAAGTAAAGTTACAGCCTATATACGTCCCACTGCTGGGTTCAGGCTTCCCCTCATTTCTGAGAGGGTTTAGGGCAAGGAAGTGTCCGCCGCGCTGCCCAAATGCGTGTTGACGAACTTCACATGTCTTCGAAATATTTTTTTTCTTATTCCTCAGACATGCAGGTTTCCTCACGATGTTTTCCTTCACTGCCGAGCACGTGGTAAATCAACACTTAAAATTGCAATTAACAATTTCATTGGTGCCGGCGGGGATCGAACCCGGGTTACTCGCGTTCTGTTATATTTACAGCGAGCGTTAACCACTGAGCTACCACGGCTCTCAGTTTAAGTTTTTTTTAAAATCCCAAGGAAACTGATTTTCCAGGATAAAAAGGGTCCTACGTCCATCTCTTGGGTGCAAGCTATTTGCGTCAAGTTCTGTCAAGATATCATTCAGCAGTTGAACTATGTAGTGATGACAGATATACTTGCTTGTATAATGTTAGAATTGATTATAGTGTATTAATAATTATGTCAACTTAGTAAGTCCATTATTACTACTAGCTACTACCACAAGAAAACAAAACACCTCTCAATAATACATGTTGTAGAGATATACCTTTGTAAGCTTGTTATTGTGTATTTTATTTCAGATAACAACGGTAAGTTATCCAGTGAAGTCCAAGTGCGGCTAAAGCGGTGCAGGGAAAATATAGAGCAGGATTAAGAGTTACAGAAATGGAGAGTCGAGAGGGAAAATATTTTGATCAAAAAAGAAGAAATAATATTGGAAAAAGAGTCACAGCAAGCTGCCTTTCAAGTGGAATAAAATAATTTAGAAATTAAAAACTTAAGTTAGAAATAGCAATATTGGAAAAAAAAATAATAAATTAAATTATTAAAAATGTCCATGTGAAAATTGTTTTATTTACATAAAATTACCTAAATTACAAAATTACAATAATATACAATATTTATAAAAATTAATGTTATGTTAAATTTGAAATACATATCAAAAATGTCGTTCAATAAACATTCTCCTAAAAAGTAATCTCTGTCTGTTGGATTGTTCGGCATTCCTTCTGTCAGTTCTTACTACTGGTGGTTCAATATTCTCCTCAATTTCATTATGCAAACGACAAATATTATATAAAATTACTGTGGCTACTATTATATGGCATGTTGTTGTCAGATTTGTTGCTAGTTTTTTTGACAAACATGGGAAAATTCTTTTCCAAACACCTATAGTTCTCTCAACAGTATTTCTGGTCTTAGTGTGAGCTTTATTATAATTTTGTACAGCATCCGATTCTGGTATTAGAACTGGCGCCAATAGATATGTTTGGCAGCCACAATCATTGTCACCTAAAAGCAAGCCGTCAATTTCTCTTTCTTCCAGGTTTGCTTTTAATTTACTTGCTTGAAATATGCTATTATTATGGACTGAACCCGGCCTGTCAGCCACAATGTCATATATTTCTATGTTACGGTCACACACAGGTTGTGTGTTTATGGAGAATTTTATTTCCTATTATGGAAAACGTCAGCAAAAGGAGACGGGCGAAAGTTCATAGAAAGCTGGGCCTGATGTTACAGTAACGATTACTGCATTATTTTATTTATATACCAATACCATTTTAAAGAGACTAAAATGTTTACGACTGCTTCATGGTAGAAAAAAATAGGATGTTGTTGATTTGTATAAAAACAATGTTATTGCTTATGTTACGCTTACAATGTAATTTCTTACACCAAGCTCTCACATTATACTTTAAGAAAATATTTATTAGACTTTATTGTAAGCTAGACTAACACACAAAAGACATAATTTTATGTATTGTAGGACATTCACACATAGAGGATTCAGACGCCGCCGTTCAACTAAATTCTAATGAATCTAACACAAAAGAATTAGGAACACGAGGAAGATACAATTCGATAGAAAATACCACAAAAACCCAAATACAACTAATTGCAAATACCAAAACTGAACCGAAAAAATGGCTAACAACAAATACCACAAAACTACTAGAAGCGAGAAACCCTCTTTTTTAGTTAGCACTAAAGATATACAGGACAGAAGAAAAAATTTAACGGAAATTAGTAAACAAATTAAAGATAGCATAAGGAAGGACAGAAAACAAAACAGAATGGAAATATAAAAACATTTATAAGCAAATCGGGTGGAATCAAAAAAGCATACAGAGAGTTGAGAAATTCGAAGGATTGGATTGTTAAAATGAAAAATGATAGTGGAAAATGGAATCATCGTAGAACAGGAATATTGGATATAGCAACATCTTATTACAAGAGACTATACGAAAGTAAAACAACAGAAGACGAAATTGATTTGGCGGATACCTCAAACATTCCTAACATTCTTCAAGCTGAAGTCAAGAAAGCCATGGATACTCAAAAGGTAGATAAAACACCAGGTCCTGACGGCATAAGCAACGAAATCTTAAGATAAGGAAAGGAAGTGTTAGCACCTGTCCTTACAGATATGTTTAACAATATTATAAACACTGAAATAATTCCCCAGCAATGGACAGAATCTAACATTATCCTGTTGTATAAGAAGGGAGATAAACATGAAATCGGAAACTATCGCCCCATCAGTCTTATGTCAAACATCTACAAAATCTTCGCTAAGATCATTTTAAAACGTATTGAAAGAACGCTAGACGAGCAACAACCCATTGAACAGGCGAGATTTCGTAAGGACTACTCGGTGATCGACCACATCCATGTAGTTCGTGAAGTTATTGAGAAATACAACGAATACCAGCTTACATATTACATTGCTTTTATCGACTACAGCAAAGCATTTGACTCTCTTCTACATAAAAACATATGGGAAGTATTAGTGGAACAAGGGATTGAACTCAAATACATTCGATTAATAAAAAAACGTGTACAGTCATAGTACAGCCAGAATCCAGTTAGATAGGAAAAGCCAGCCATTCAAAGTAGGAAAAGGCGTTAGACAGGGCGACCCCCTGTCCCCAAAATTATTCTCGGTTTTACTTTAATCAATTTTCAGAAAACTTAATTGGGAAAATCTTGGGATCAATATAGACGGCAAATCACTGACGCATTTCAGATTCGCTGATGACATAGTACTATTCTCCAAAACACCTGAAGCCATCAATAAAATGATAGAAGACCTATTGATAGAAAGTGAGAGAGTAGGATTAAAACTCAATCCAGAGAAGACTAGAGTGATGACAAATGGAGAGAAAACCACGATACGGATAAGAAATACCGAAATCAACTACACTGACGAATACATCTATCTGGGAAAACTCATAACCCAAAAAGAACCTATGCGCGAGGAAGAGAAGAGAAGAATTACGAACAGCTGGAGCTTGAGAGAGGCTACGAAAGACAAACAACTTCATATAAACATTAAAAGCAAACTATTTAACACCTGCGTACTACCCGGCCTTATGTATGGCTGCCAATCATGAACTTTAACTCGTGAAATGACAAACAGGCTAGCAACTTGCCAATATGCTATGGATAGGAGCATGCTGAAATAATAAATATATTTAATGATAAATAATTTTCACTGCAATCATCGTTTACTATTACAAATTTTTGGTTACATAATTGGCATTTAAACGTAAATTTTGACTCTAAGCCTTTTGTGTTTCTCCAATAAGTTGTAGTTCGGTGAAGCTGCAACCTAATGGACCATGATTTGAAATTTTTATGAAAAGAAGTGGCTGACGTCAATTATTATTCTTCTTATTATTTTTTCATTACTGCCTTTTTCAACCTCACAAGATATTTGTAACTGCAAAAAAGTAAAAAACGTATCAGTAAGTAAATCAGTAATATAGTGTTATGTATGATTCAGACTAAATAAAAGTTCCTAAAAATAGACGTAGATAAAGAAATTGCATAAAAAATTACTGAAATAAAAATGTAATAAACTTGTTAATTTTATAGGTAGTAACATATTAAAATAATAAGTTTTTTTGGGATATTTATGTAAAACATAAAGATTATATTATGTTCTAACTACGTTTACGCTTGCGCATATAAAACCGCGGAATTTCACTAGTATTATTATCAAAATAATAATTGACAACCCTTGACTTATATATTACTAGCGTAAAAACCGGGCCGACCGCACAACTAAAACGGACCAGTGCGCTGGCCCTAAAATTATAGTTTAGGGCCAACCATCGATAACTAATAAAAAACTTTAGTTCTTTATTAGTGATCGATGGGGCCAACGCGAATCCGTCGACAGTAGTGCGCCCGCAGGACAGATTTGTCTGTCATAAATATGTCAAGCTGCGTGTTAAAAGAATGCAAAAATTACGATACGAAGATTAAAAAGGAACATGGCATATCGTATCATCGGTTAGTAACCCTGTATTAATTTTGTTACAATTAAATTATTATTTGAACGCATTTTTATAGTTTTATTTTACAGTTAGTTTAGTTACGTTACCAATATTAGGCCAGGGTTAGATTCAGACCCTCAAAAATATTGTACATCAAAAATACAATTATACTATTTAAAAAAAAATTATATCATGTTTACGTTTGTTTTTTTCCCCATGTGGCGGGATTTTGGTGTCACGCGTCTAGTTTTTATATACTACGTTTCGTTTTTGACGGTTTTATTTTTATTTCTTTTTTTATTAGTTCTGTTTTATTTTTGTCTAAAAAACTTAGAATAAGTTTTTAGACAAAAATTAAACAGAACTAGTTTTTAGTTTATAAATTTTGAATATTGGTACCTAATATATTTTATATTCAATAAGGGTAAAACGAAAAGAGTATAAAAGAAACCATATTTGCTTAATTGAATCTGAAAATCTGATTCATAAAATATTTTGAAATTCTGTTTTCAAACCGATTGATTCTGGAGTAGCCCCTCATTATAGTCGTACCAAGGATGCAACATAAATGCATCGATCGAGCACGTTGGAAAGGGAGCTAATCCTTATTTTATTTAAAAAACGCGGTACTCATGTACAATACAGAAATTCTCGATATCGTAGTGTTAATATTAAAAAGTAAAAGGAGCCAATAGTAATACAAGTCGATCTTTAGGTAAAATGATGATATTTGCGCTTAGTATTATTACGGTACTATATACTACAAACTATGAAATAATGGTACAGTTAGGATAATTATACTACGAAATCCGACCCTGGTTACGTCATGTTATGATATGACGTTTGTATTATGACAGATGCGCTGCTTTTTTTTGTATGAAAAAGTTATGTATAAAGTATTTAGATGGGCCTATCCTTCCTTTTGAAATCATTGTTGAGAACCCTTCCCTAAGTTTGCCTTGATTTTATCAACTCAAACTCGTTTTAGAAGATTAAATCATAGAGAGAAAGATAGGAGACTATTTTTTATTTAATATGGTTCATCAAATCCGTAAAAATAGTTTAAAATACTCACACAATAAAATTTTGAAGTGCAGATAAAATATCTTCAACCAACATTTGCACAATTCTGACGTTCACAGACGTTTCAGAATTTTTTGCCAGAACCAAAAATAAGCGCTGGCATGCGACAAAAATTGTACCATAAATAAAATTAAGTCTCTAGCTCGAGAGGAGAGGAGACGTGGTAGCTCAGATGGTTAGCGCTCGCTGAAATTTTCACAGTGCGCGAGCAAACCGTGTTCGATCCCCGCTAGCACCAATGAAATTATAATTGCAATTTTAAGTGTTGATTTATCACGTGCTCAACGGTGAAGGAAATTAATGTGAGGAAAAGTTGTTGAAAGGAAGTTCGCCAACACTCATTGGTGCAGTGCGGTGGACAATCCCTTGCCCTAGGACCCTTTCAGAAATGAGCGGAGGCCTGTGCCCAGGAGTGGGACGTATATAGGCTATAACTTTAACTTTAACTCTAGCTCTAATAGTCTACTAATGAAATTCAAATGATCGGTTTAGGCAAAGTAAGGCTAGGTAAGTCAAATTAGGGCATTTTACGGTACTTAGATATCTTTTACCTAATCACAAGCACAAGTGTGTATCTAATCACAATACCTACTAAATTATTTTGATTAGGTAAGTACACATTTGTGCACCATAATATATACACACCAAAAATTTAAATAAACAAACTTTTACATCTTCAACCATTTCAGTTGAACCAAGACAGGTATACTGTAATTCTATAGTTTCTTGACTCAAGTCGTTTACTGCCGTATCGTCATTGTTCGTATTTAGCCTGCAAGAAAGAATAAATTATATTAGATCTAGCATGACAACAAAACGGAAATACTTGTAATAAATCATTTAGATACATATTTTAGCTATATATTTGAAAAGGTTCATATTATTTATAATATGGTAACCACAAAAAAATATCACATCAAATTTAATAAATTCTGATTATAATTTCATAACTTTATGGACTCAAAAGTGTGCCCGACTTACCCATTATCATTTTCAATTATTGGTAAACTTGAATAATTATGTTTGTCGTCAAATTCGCATTCAGGTATTTTTCTTCTCCTCCTAAAATAAAAATATACTATGTAAGAACACGTAGTAATTTAACGGAATAAAAGTAAGTGAACTTTGCATAATTACATCAAATTACTTACAGAATTTCATTCATCTTTAGAGCATTTTGACGTCGTTGACGTTTATTCTTCTTGAATTTAGGCATTTGCACTAATCAATCCACAAAATTATATTTTCACATTATCACAATAGTAGCGTCTTTTTGTGGCAAAAACTGTATATAGTACTCTACTCTACTCTATGGGTAAAAAACACGTAAGCGCATCGGTTGGTAAGTACTCAAATAATATTATGTTTGCGGCGAAACACGGAGACGTCGACGACGGCGACGAGCGACACAGCCACCTCGTACGAACGCATACAGCGTAATGCTAATGCCACCCGCACTCTGCGCGCACTCTGCCCCTTTTATTATAGAATTCACAAAACTTAAAAAATTAAATAAAACGTGGAGAATATAGATTTTTAAATTATATATCCATTAGTGTAATTTTCAAATGATTAGAGCGTTGCGTTTAGCAACAGATGCATCTAATCAAGAATTTTAGTCATTTTTTAAAAGTTCATTTTGAATGAGTTGATTTTGATGATGAGAATGTATTTATAGCACATAAAAACAAATTAGAACGTGGAATGTGATGATAAGATATCGAACATTAATAATGTGCTTTTAGATGTAGTTTATTTTTCATAATTAATGAGATAATAGAGTCTGAAAAAATGCACTTTCGTAACATTTTGGTCAGGGATACACCTTAAGTAGTCGAATAAAATCGAGACATACTTAAGCTCAAAAACATGTTTTACATATATTTTAGTTGACAGTTAGTAGAAAGGCCATCAAACAGTATTATTTTACTTGCTTGGTAGGAAAAAGAACTGCAGGTTGCTGTTGTCATGTAATGTCCATAAACACCGTACCTAAGCTGGGCAAGGCGTCACGAGAATTTAATACCGCATGCACCGTTTTTAGACGATATTTCATTTGTTTATGATGAAGTGGACGACTAATAAATCAATAAAAGAGAAAGTGTTTTTAATTCATACTCCCTCAGCTTTTTTAAATTATTTCAAACCTTTAGTAATAGTCTGTAAATTTGTCTATTAGAGCGATTGTTATTTGTTCTAACCGATGTTTTCCGAGCTTTGTGTTAAATAAGGCGTGTCTTGGTCTAGGTTTCTTTGGTTGATTTGATGCTAGTTCTGCTCTAATTAGTTTATGATTAGTGTTGAAGTTCAATTTCTTGATTACGGAAAAGTTAGTGAAGTAGTTGTTTCTGTTGGTCATTATGAAATCAATTTGGTTTTTTGTTTTGCCGTCTGGCGAGATCCAGGTCCACATGTTTTTCTTATTTTTCCTGAACATAGTGTTTAAGATGGTGAGGTTATTTTCTAGTGCGAAGTTTGTAATATGTTCTCCATTTCTACTTCTGGGTTTATTACTGTATGTGAAAGGTTCTAGTACTTTTTTCTCTTCCAGGCGCCTTTCTCTAAGTTGACGATTATAGTCTCCCATTATTATAAGGTTTTTATGACCGTGCTCGTGGATCGCATTATTTAGATTAAGGTAGAATGTATTTATTGTATCTAGGCTTGATTGTTCAATAGGCGAATATATTTGTACTATTGACCAAGGATTTTATATCCAGGTAGTTTTAAATTCATTATAGCAATCCGCTCCGATATACCTATAAATACTTCCACATGTTTTGTTATATGTTTTTTAACAATAAATCCAACCCCATGGAGTCCCGGGGTCTCTCCTATATGATAGAATGTGTAATCTGGATACGATATGATATTTTCACCCATTCTTCTCACTTCACTGAGGCCAACAATGTCCCATTTGATGTGCTTTAAAGCATACATGAGTTCTGTAAGGTTTTCTTCACTTTTCAGATTGGCAAACAGATCTACAAAAGATAAAAAAGCAGCAAATATTAGATTAAGTTTTATGT